CACACACACACACACACACACACACACACACACACACACACACACACACACGCCCACGCGCGCGCGCACACACACACCTCCACAATCCCCCCCACCCCCAGCTAGGTCAACTTGTACCTGCAAAGGTATTCTCTGCCCAACCCTGCCCCCGTGAGCAGCAAACCTCTACTCAAAGAACCCACGGGAGAGCAGCCTTCTTGTCCCCCAGGCAGCCCATCCCACTTGGGGCCAGCTCCCCTGGCTCCTCATTTTTCCCGACTCCTAGTCTAAATCTGCCCTTTTTGCAAGCTTCACCCATTCCTTGTTCCTGGCTCTACCCTCTGGGGCCAAGCAGAACAAAACCAATTTCTCCTTCCTTGAGACAGCCTTCAGACACTTGGAGACACTCCCAGAAATTTTCTCAGTCCTTCTGCTGATCTGCTTATGACCAGTTCTCTTTCCTTCACCATCCACTTCAGGACAGATTCTCTTTTTTTTGATGGCGACATCCGGAGATGAATACAATACTACAACTATCTGACTAGAACAGAGGCAGCAGGGCCCCTTGTGGGAGAGGCTGGGGGGCTTGCTTCCAGAAAACCATCATGACCTGTAATGGATAGGCCTTCTGTACCCGGTTCTGGTGTGATGAAGAAGCTGACCGTGGCTGTGTGGCCAGAACTGGGGGGCATCCAGTCAGCCAAGGCCAGATTCTTGGTTCAGCTCCTGTCTTCTCGTCTGCGTTATAGTGAGAAAGACAGTCAGGAAGCATTTATGAAACACCTACTATGTGCCAGGCATTGTGCTAAGCCCTGAGGCAAAAGACAGGCCCTGCTCTCAAGGGGCTCAAGTCTGATGGGGAGACAACAGGCAGATGACTATGTACAGACAAGCCGCCTATAGGATCCATAGGACATGATGGACAGAGGGACTGTGCTGGAATGAAGTGGGCTTAGGAGAGGCTTCGCTCTGGTAAAAGGGGGGATGTTAGCTGGGATACGAAGGAAGTCAGGGAAGCCGGGAGGTGGGAGGGAGGAGGGAGAGAGTGCTGAGGAGGGAGACAGGCGGAGAAAATGCCTCCGGAGACGGAGGGTCTTTTTCAGAGAAGAGCAAAGAGGCTGGTTGTCGCTGGATGGCGTGGTGGGGCATAAGGGGTAAGAAGATGGGAAAGGAGGGCAAAGGAGGCCGGTGATGAAGGCCTTTGAACATCAAACAGAGGATTTCATATTCAATACTAGAGGTGATGGATGGGGAGCCAATACAGCTTATTGAGTAAGAAGCTCACTGGTCAGACCCGAGCTTTAGGAAAATCCCTTTGGTGGCTGAATAGAGGATGGACTGGAGGCAGGCAGACCCCCCCCACCCGCAGGCTATTACAATCACTACTGTATAGTATTACATTTCCTATTGTAAGAGCCTTCTAGGGGGTCTGCCCACCTCCCCTCCAGGTGGGAAGAGATGAAGATCTGCACCAGAGCAGTGGAAGGGTCAGAGAAGAGAAGGGGACATCCTCTAGAGACATTGCAAAAGTGAAACCAGCAGGCCTTGACAACAGATTGGACATGGGGAGCCAGGGATGGCTAACTCAGGGGGCCAGGAGGATGATGTTGCCTTCCATGGTCATAGGGAAGGTAGGAGGTGGGGAGCATTGGGGCGGGTGAGGGGGAAGATGATGAATTCAGCTTTGGACATGTTGAGTTTAAGACATCCACAAGACATCCAATCTGAGATGTCTAACAGACAACTAGACCAGAGGTCAGCAGAAAGGTTGAGATGGATAAGTCGATGTGAGAATCATCAGCCTAGCGATGAGAACTGAACCCACAGGAGCTGATGAGATCACCCAGTGAAACGGTACAGAGGGAGAAGAGAAGAGGGCCCAAGGCAGAGACCTGGGGGACACCTCTGGTTAAAGGGTGTGATTTGGAAGAGGATCCACCAAAGGAGACGGAGAAGGAGCCGTCAGAGAGGTGGGAGGAGAACCAGGAGAGCCGGTGTCCTGAAGAAAGTACCAAGGAGGAGAGACTGATGGACAGTGTCAAAGGCTGCAGAGACATCAAGGAGAGCGAGGATTGAGAAAAGGCCACGGATCTGGCAACTAATAACAATAGTGATTATTTCGGAGCACACGGTTTTGACTGAATGACCAGGTCAGAAAGCCGGCCTGTAGAGAGTTAAGAGGAGAGGGGCTGAGGGGATGAGGAAAGGCCCCCATAGGAAGGGCTCCGTGTGAAGGTTTCTGGCAGATGGAGATGCGGAGGAAGAACATTCCAGCCACGACAGTCACCACGCCGTACTTGTGAGTGAATGATTGAATAAATGAAGGAATGAGGAAGCGTAATGTCCCTCAGAGAGCTGTTGCTTTAACAGGGATTCCTTAGTCCCAAAGGTATCACTGTAAAGGCCCCACCCCAAGCTTCTTGAGAAAGTCCTAGGAAACTCCCTGTGCACTGGCAAGGCCTTCTAAGAAGGTGCAGAGTGAGTTTTATGGACAGGGCTTAACCATCCTAAGCAACTGAGTTTCCCTGGGCTTTCCTCTTTGCCCTAAAACCTTACATGGTGAATATATAGCCCTATCCCAATTGTCTGCACCTATTTACAGAGTGCCTCTTAATTGCAGAGCATTGTACTAAGTGTGTGTAATCAACCAATCAATCAGCCAGGATCTATTAAATGTCTACTATGCACCAAGCACCGTACAAGCATGGAGTGTACATACAAATACCACTGTGGTTCTTGATAGCGTCTGCAAAGCATTTTGTGAGCTTTGAAGTGCTCTATAAAGGTCAGGTATGATTGAGTAGATTGATGACTTGTTATAGACTCAGATATGTCAGAAACACTCAGCCCAGGAGGCAGGAAAATGTCTTTAGGAAGAAATTCTGAAGATGCAAAAAGAACTCATTCTGATGAGGCGGACAAAGCAGAGCCAACTAAAGAAACCGATGTGGACACAAAAGGAGCTCAGTCACCAGCCTCAATTTTTAAAAGAAAAAGAGAGGAAGGGATGAAGGAAGGAAGGAAGGAAGGAAGGAAGGAAGGAGGGAAGGAGGGAAGGAAGGAAGAAGAGGGAGGGAGGGAGGAGAGGAGGAAGGGAAGAAGGAAAGAAGGAAG